GACATCAAGTAGGACACCACTACCATGTGATAGTAGTTAGAATTAGTAACTGTTATAACGAAGTGCTTTGTTCAGCTGAAAGTTAACTTTTTTAATTAGTCACATTGTGTCTAATACTAGCTTTGTCGAATACTTAATATAGAAATTAGTTAAAAGATTTTTCGTATTATTATTTTTGGTTTTCTTTATCAGTACTTCTTGTATTTTATTCAAGTACTTTTATTGCTTAGACGAATTGATCTCCATAAGTGCCCATTACTTACTTACCTGGGTCACAATAATTTCAGAAGGTTTTACAAGCATTTGTGTATAAGAATTTTGATACTGCTGTTTATGTGAAATTTTATAATCGATTTTAGGCATACGTTGTATACAGAAACTTTTGTACTTTATCATATTATAGATGTAAACCATAGCTTTGTTGAAATAATTCTTATGATATACAGCTAGCAGACTTCATAGCAATTTCAGATTGAATTTTTAATCACTTTAAACGTTACTGAAGTGTTAGTTAGTTATTTATTTAATTTTCAATTTAAAAGTTAAATTAAATCCTTAACAGTTTGTAAATAATTAAATATTTAATATAAAAGTAAATCGTACTTATGTATATACTTCTTTGTGTAGAAAATTTATTATAAACTTTTAGTTAATTTTAATCAGAAATTTATTAAAATTCAATAAGATTCTGTTAATATTAAATAAAATAATGTAGCACGTAAAAGTGATCCAAATAAATTTTTTTTTTTGTTTATAATATCGTTACAAAATCTTGTTCAAATATATGTAAATGTAAATGCATGTGTACATAAATACAAAAATCACTCATACGATACGTTGTGCAAACAATTCATGTTGGCTTTTTCAATTTGTTGTGTGCTTAATATTATAAATAAACAGGTGCTTTAAATGAGCACACTGATTAACATACATGAATATTTAAAATATGCAAAAGCACAACTTCACACCTTCGTATTGGATCTGATGGCTCATAATTTAAATATTTGTGCATATTAAGGATAAATATGCATAGCATTTCACCTCAAGGGGATTGTTTGATTCCATAATGCTGACATAATTGACGAAATTTGTGCATTCAGGTTAAGTGTAATTACAGTAAAATGTGCAGCTTGAGTAAGTCCAGATTGTTTTCTCAATTGCATATGTGACATATCATACGTTATAAATGAAATCTTCTGGGAGCAATAATCTTCGTGCATGTGAAGATAATCAGCAATAAAAATGCATATTCCATATTTGCAATGCAATGTGGCAGTATGACACGTGCAATGTTGCAAGTTGTTATTGCCTTCATTTGGATTTTAATTGCTGCTACCGGTGTGTTCACATGTTTACAGATTTGACAATATAAAAGCAACATACCATAAATTAAAATTAATGTGCAGTTATTCTTAGCAGTGATTTAATGCATTTGTAAAGGCATTTATGTATAAAGGCATAGTTTTCGCAAATAGGATTCTGTTGATTTAATATATAAATTTTTTGTATTTTTGTAAAGAAGGTTCGATATTTTACTATATATTATTATAGTAAATGAATTTTAATTTAAAAGTGGCTGTAAATAATAGAAAATAATTTGAGAAACATTGGAGAAAATAATTTTTATATAATTAATATAGTCAGTACTATGTTGATGCTGTTTTGAGCTAGTGCACTTAAGCACTTATACTCTTTTTGTACTCGAGGTATTGTCAAAACCCCTCTTTACACCTTTACTAGATTATTGTTTATCACTTTATCAGACTAAGCAATAAACTAAACTTTCAAAATTTTGAAAACTCTTCTTAGAGCCTGGCTTTGTGCAATTTCTAGCTGGTGAATAGTAGTGTTTGAAACTTTGCTAAACCCTACACAGTCATATAGATGTAACGGACGAATTATTTGGTTATATATCAGTTTCCTGTTTTTAGCATTGAGATTTTCATTTCTGAATAGCGGTTGGAGGTGATAAAGAATTTTGGCATAATCAGTACAACAAAGAAATTAGATGGAGCATGAGCCAAAAATTTTAGGCCATTGTTAATTGTTAAAATTATAATTTAAAACATGATTATGAAAAGAAATTACATAGGTTAGTTAACTTATGTGAATAAAAAATTTTAATTAAATTTGATTTTATTTAATTTATTATTAAATATTATTATTTCAGAAAAAAGTTAACTAAATAAATATGACGAAATGGAAAGAAATACTGCAATAAACAGAAAATTTTAAAAATGTTGGCTTTTTATTAAAAGAATAAAGAGGCCACGAAAAAACAATCACTGGCGCGAGTAAAAAAACTATAAAGTTTATAAATAAAAATAGAATAATAAAATCCATGAACAACGTAATGAACATTCATTAAAATAAGGAGAGAATGACATTAAACATACTTATAAATAAAAAGGTGTAGTGATAGAAATAGATATATATGGTAGAAAACATGAAAGAAAACAATGACAATAACAGAAGACATGTTCTGTCTTGTCTATATTCTAAAAACTAAATTGATGTATTAAATAGGACATCCACAATAACTATGCAGTAGTACTTAGAATAAGTAACTATTATGATGGAAGTGCTTTGTTTACTTGGAAATTAACCTTCATTATAGTACTCTATATTGTACCATATACATTTTCTAATTAATTTTATAGTATTATTATTATTAAAATTCTAATGACGTGAAATCGCCCAACAGCTGGTACTGCGGTCAGAAAAGTCCTATTGTACCAATTTCACCATTGATTACACAAAGCCCTTAAAGCTTTGTAAACTAAATCTGGCAGAAATTCCATATGAAATAAATTTTTACTGTGTGTTGTTAAAGTTGTACAGCCACAAAAAATTTGCATCATCTTCGATACATAATTAGCATTCCGAATTAGCAGATAATCGTAGTTTATGAATATGATATTTCAGACCATAATGTCCTGTAACGAAACTTGTTATCGATCTTAAATTATCTTTTCAGAATTTAAGAATATTTTTGTAGGAGTACGGTTTGATCAGAACTTTGCTTTGTCTAAGTCATGCGAAGTCTTCCCAGTACACCAGCAGCACATGATTCTCTCTCTCCTTGATTATTTGTTTTATACTGGCCCAGTTTAAATCACAAAAGGATTGAGGGCCTGTAAAAGCAGTTATTGATGCAACTCTGGCTAGCTCATTCGCTTGTTTACTTCTTAAAATTCCTCTGTGGCCCGGAACCCAGTACAGACTAACCTTATTCCGAGTGGCAAGTAACTGTAGAAGTTCGTAACACTCAATTTTATAGTAAAATTAATTCGTAATGTCGCATTGGTGTTATTTGTGATAACAAAAATCTTGAATATTTTTTTTTCAGAAATCCACAGTATTATCTCGTTTTCGTTAACATCTTTATAGTTTGCTTAAAATAAAAATATATTTAAATGAATATGACTTTAAAATAATAAGAAAAATTGACCATGTTGAATTTTCAAATCTTTACGAAAAATAAAGCTTATATTTTGATATATAAACTTAAAGTATTAAGAAATGATATGTATCCACACTATAATATCTTACCTAAGTTAAAATAAAATATTTTGAAATCGAATTCAAAAGTAAAAAGAAACTTATTTATGTGTGGGTTAATAATATACACAATAAAAATCATTAATAATTTTATTTAAAATTATTTTAAATAATTTAGTTTTTATAATAATAAATATAATTGAGAAAATAATACACAAATTTTATGAAACGAAAAATAAAAGCAATTTTCATTTCTCTATTAAGGACTGTCACAAACTTTTAATCCTTCACCCAAGCAAGCAGCATAACCCATCATATGTGGTATTGCATTTTGTTCATAAACTCCAGTGAATAAATGCGACCAAGGCCCTGAAGCATAAACAGCCACATCATCACCACCATGTGTTTCAGAGTCAAGTGGTAACGTTGATGGAAAAGAATCATGTGCATCGCCTGTTAACACTTGTAAAGGATCGCGGCGTTCATGTTTTTCCACGTCATAAAATGTATCATAGCTTGGACCATTTGCATAGCTAAGTACTAAAAATGGTTTTTGGTCGTCAGGCGTGGCAACTGTGCGACTGAAAATGTCGCTTCCGCGGTACTAGAAACAAAAACAAATCTATTTATATATATTCATATAATTATATACAATTGGATCAAAAATATGTTAAGGATAACAAAAAATAGTTTAGTTATTCTATTTTTTTTTTTAACTTACTGTTTTTAATTTTTAGTGTTTCAGATAGCTTAATTTTTGAAAGTTTAGTAACTAATCAAGTGACATTATTTATTTATTCATTAGAATTTTTTTTAACAGCAATATTATTATAGTTTAGCTTATGTATGCATGACGTCCTCAGGACAACTTTTTTTCAGTCTTTTTCATAGTAAAATATTTAATTCGTTTATATGTTAACAAAGGGGATTTGTAACTTACCGGATAACCAGCATAACTGAAGGCGTGCGAATGATCCGCAGTCACAACAATTAATGTATCATCTTCGCTTGTCATTTCGCGTGCCGCATCAATTGCTTTGGAAAACTCCACAGCCTCATCCAATGCAATGCGTGCCATATTATCATGATGCGCCAAATCGATACGTCCACCTTCAATGAATATAAAGTAACCTTCATCATTTTTGCTCAGGTACTCAATTGCTTTCCGTGTCATTTCTTCTAAAGTTGGTTGTGTTGTAGTTTCGTTAGTTTCCAAATGATACAATAAATGACTGTCCTGATAGAGCCCAAATACGCGTTCCGCCTCATCGAGATTTGCATTCATCAACTGCTCATGCGTTTCAACGTACAAGTTTTTAGCATTTTGCTGCTTGTAATCGTTAATCAGATTGCGTCCATCACTACGTTCCCCTTTTTCATAGAGGCTACTGTCAATGAAGTGTTTTTTACCACCGCCCATAACAAACTTTAGTTTACTACCCACTTCACCGTGTATAAGCTGATATGCAATATCCTGTGCAGTTGAATCTGAACCACAGTCTTCTTTCAATTCACTGTCATTTTCCCAGTCACGTTCAGCAGTATGTGCATAAACGCCTGCCGGCGAGGCATGTGTGATTCTGGTTGTTGTGACAACACCAGCTGATTTACCAACATCCATAGCCCACTTAGCAATAGAGTAAACATAATTATCTTGGTCTTGCATAGCTAAACAATCGTCTCGTTGTACATGACCGTTTACGCCAATAGTACCTTCATTGGCCTTGATGCCACATAGGTAAGCTGTTGCAGTACAGGCAGAGTCCGAAACAATTTTATCTATGGCATAGGTTTTTGACAATCCTGTGTAGGGAAATTTTTCAAATGCCAAACTTTTTTCTTCGCCACCAAGTAAATTACGTGTGGCTGCAATAGTGGTCAAGCCCATACCATCACCCAAAAATAAAATGACGTTCTTGGCACGTTTTGTATTTAACTGTGCTGTTAGTTTTTCCTTGATGAATTCTTTGCCTTGATTAAGCCAATAATCATTTGATTTCTCAGTTTCATAAGCGCGGGAATTTACTACATCTTTCGGTGGTTCGTTGGGTAAGTCAGGATGCATAAATCTTTCACGGCAATCCTCATCATTTCGATCACATTTTGGCAAAGCCTGTGCTGTTATTGTGAGAAGTGTAAGTATGAAAAGTGTGAGTAGTTTTCCGTGGTAACCGCCCGACATTTTAATGCAAACTGCGTGGTACTTAGCAAGTGCGGATCAGTGCAAAAGGCTTCTGAATGTTAAATACGAATTCGCTACTTACACAATAAAAACGATTGGAGCGATAAGATTATTAATGTCCAATATAAGTATGTTTTATGGGGTATATTTCGATTCATAAATAACTCCTAAATTATATTAAGACGGCTTATCTTGAATATTTTACGCGTGTTTTTTCTTTAACTATCACGCTTTTTCATTTATGATTTTTTTTCATAATCTTCATTGACTACTTGCTAAAGGTTAGTTGTAATAAATTTAAAAATATCTCACCA